ACCTAGCTCAAGATTCACAAGTAATTCCCTTTGAGTTTCACCAACCACAAAGTAACCCTGCTCATCATACATATGTTTCAACTACTTAAGGTAACCGTTTTTTAAGCTTTCTGTGTTGTGTTTTCAATTTAGTTCCCAAGCACAGAACACTCTACAACAGATACCCAAATGATGGCACTGATAGTATTCGAGGATACCTGAAATTCCATTAGGATGAGAATGTGTTGGCAGGCATGCATTTGCTTCAGGGTAACCAAAACTACATAGACTTGCACTGGTAGAAACAAAGAGATTTAAAAATGCTGTCCTGATGTGCTTGTACCTGATCATTTCTCCATGTAGCTATAAATGAACACAAATAAAATATGTGTGGAGGAAGATTTGTGCCCATAGGGACTGTTGTTAAGGAAATGAATGTTTGAAAAAGACTGAGAAGGCATTTAGAATTAGTACCACTGGGAATATTCTAATTTTCCTATATTCTGACCTCCTGGGCATCTGACTCACACTTTTTTCATTACAATAAACATATTTATTACAAAACTAATCATCCTTCTCCTCCAGTGTCCTCTAGTGTTTTCACTTCCATGATTTATTTCCTTTCTTTGTGAGTGAGCAGATCATTATGGTCATGGGCACAACTATGAAACATCACTTAACTTGAAATCAAAACATAAACATATAATATGAATAGTGAATGTGCTAGTATTAATTTAAATCTACCTGAAAACAGAAAATATTATATTTTAAAATAGGAAAATACACTATAAAATGATGTAGTTTAGTTTTTTTGGATGAGCAAGTCTTAATTATTGCAAAATTTTTTAAAGTAGTAATACTAATCATCATAGCTATTTGTTTTTATAGTTTTTTTTTTCTTCTGATACTCAGGACCTTGTGCTTGCCAGGCAAGTGCTGTGCCACTTAGCTATATTCCCAGCTGTTTTTATAATTCTAAGCCAAGAACTTTGCCACAATACACAAAACCCCCCAAATATGATACAGAATGCACTATAACCTGGAACTTCCTTGAGCTCATTAATTACAAGTAGCAGACAGGCATCATTATATAATGATTTTATTCACATCACAATCCTTCCGAAGTAGATTGAGAACTGATTGAAGATAGTAAACCTCTAAAGGGTTCATCAGTGTGTTTTATTCTTAAACTATTTTGCAAACCATACTACCTGTTACACTGGAAAAACAGTTCATAGTATTGTTAAACTTTCAGTTACTGCTTGTTTTTCCTTCTAGGCAATTTCTTTCTTTCCTTTGCCTTTTCCTTTAGGATTAAAAAGACCTTAACAGCACATGCCTGTAGTGATCCCAACACTGCATGACCTTCTTAGGATCTTGGAGGAGAAGCTTGAGTGCAAGTGGCCCTGAGCCTGGTGGACAGAGACTGCAGCATACTAATGGTGATGGTGAGACTTCAGGAAATCTGGAGGACACGTCCCTGTTACCCTCCTAAGGTAGGCTTTAGGATTGACACTGCCACGTGACTGCTATGAGAGTGATAAACTGGTGATTTGAGCAATGTATGAGATGTTCTGGGCTCATTCCTGAAAAAGTAAGTCATTTTTCTCTTCCTGAGTGCCCTGGGTTTATCTAACATGATTACATCTTAGTATTTGTATATTTCAACTCCCAAGCAGAGTTGTTCCCCTTGCCGATAAGACTGTAAGCTGACAGCATGACAATAGTTCCTCTTTATTGTCTTAAGACATGTTCAAAGTCTGCACCACTCCCCTCTTCTCTTCCCCATCCTCTTCCACAACTGTGGTACATTCCACTTCCCTGATAGACTTTCCTATCTCTTCGGCCAACCTCACCTCTCACACTACTGACCTATTGTGCTTTCCTGGCCTCACTGAATGAAACCTGGCATGCACCCTTTTCTTTACTTTTGACTGTAAAGAGGGACCACTTCCTGTCTTCCCTCAATGATGCAACTCAAGCATGTGATTGCCATGGATCTCCTATACTGTGAGGTAGAGTTAGGTACCTTAACTGATAGCTTTTGCTCCCCTTGAGTCCAGTGACAGGGGTGACTGGTGATACAGTATCCTTGGCTAGACACAAATGAAAGGAGAGGCCTTTGATATGATAGTGCAGAGCCAACAAAGAATCACTTCTAAGCGATTTTGCATCTACTTTGCTGAGTGAGGGGCTCTAATTTACTTCATAGTTCAATGTAGATCCATTTCATGTGTAAGATCTGGCTCTAATTCAGTACTTGTTTCCACTTCTCCCTCCTAGACACATAGCTAATCTTAGTTTTCACCTCCCACCCCACTGGCAGCCAGGCATTTTTTTTTGATAGTTTTTATTCAATGTTTGTTAATTGTTGCCATCCCTTCCCTTCTATTCTTTCCATATTTATGACAAATACTGGCTTATCATTCCTCTTGTGAAAAATTGGGAGCTCTTAAGAGAAATTAAGAGCATTTCAGATATGTGAAGGCAATTGTAGTGCTCCTACTGTAAACTACATAATGCTCAAAAAGGTTTGTAAATGAATACTTAGTCACACCGAGTGAGATAAATTAAAATCGCAATTAACTTCATATCCGTTTGAAATAGATTTTTCCACCAAATTACTTTACAACAAGCTTACAAAAAGAATAAAACATATTTTTCTCTTGAGAGAATGATGAACCTTAAGACCAAGGATGTTAATTTGTATTATGTTGTGTAAATTCTATAAACGATTAATGCATAAGAGTATTTCAGGAGAATTTTGTTTTCTGTTATTAAAAATCATTTACTGGGGTTGGGGATTTAGCTCAGAGGCAAAGCGCCTGCCTGGCAAGCGCAAGGTCGTGAGTTCGGTTCCCGGTACCGGAGAAAAACCAAAACCAAAACCAAAAAAAAAAAATCATTTACTTTTCTAATTTTGAAGATATCATAGAGAAAATTCGTAGGTAACACAAGCAATGATGGAGTAACTCAAGTAAGCAACTGAGAACAATCCAGAAAAAAAAGCGAAATAAAACAAGTATCAGGACTTGAGGGTTAGAGGTACAGGTAGCGGGGGGTGGGGGCGTGGGGGTGGATTCTGAATTAATAGGAATAAGAAATGATAATATGGTATTAGATGGCTCAAAAATAACTTCATAATGGGAAAATGATATATCTTAGAGAACAAGATTTTTTTAGAACTTTGAAAATGTGGTCAAGAAAATTTCTTAAAGATTACTTTTGAATATACATAAGTTCAAAAATATAAGTCCAGGTCACAAGAAAACATCACAAGCCTGGTCACCCCTATCCATCATTCTGGTTTTTATGCTTAGTGTGCTCCTAAGGAATGCTTTCAAGGAAATGCACCAAATTTTCTTTCCGGTTGAGAAGTCAAGAAACTTTTGGAAGCTCCAGGTTAAGGAACTCTGAGGGTTCGGGGATTGATTTTTAAGGGTCCTGGCAGGCACTAATTAGCATAATTATGGACAAGTAAGGGACAGTGTCAGTTCTTGCACTTTTAAATATAAGTTAAACATGGGCTTTTAAAAATTTCTCACAGGGTTTGTTCTTATTTTCAAGTTATGAGACACTAACTCCCTAGTTTCTTACACATAATATGTAGCTTCCAACCAGAAATATTAGAAGAGAAAGAACTGTGGCCAACAAAAATTATGACGACCTGCAGTGCTAAGTATGACATTTCCTAATGAGAGAGGGTATTTTTTCAATTATTTAGGTTTTAACCTCTGTATGGGTTTCCCAACAAACTTTGGAAGCGGTGAATGAGGAACATTGTCCTTGCCCTGGCCTCCACCAATAATCTTAGTTAATAAATTGTTTCACGTATATAAAAGATGGTAAGTGGTCAACAGCCCACCAATCACATCCTAAAGTATTCAACTACAGAACTGCAATTTCAATTTCAAGGAATGTTTAGTTTCTTACACATTGGGGAACAATATGAAACTTCTAAGAACCAGACAATGCCCTATTGGGCTAAATCCTTAAACCCTAAGTGCTCAATAAATACATACCTGTAGACTGCTTAGTTTCCTAAAGGAGAGATATACCACTTTTCCCTGTTGCAAGCCCCGGACTAGAGCATGCTAGATACAGGGGAAGCTTAATACCCATGTAGGGATTCAGATCTAGCTGGACATCATGCAAAGCAGAATGAATTAAGGTTTTAGCCAACAAAGGTCACAGCAGTGGAGATCCAAGTAAGGTTTACTTCACACTTTGCAGAATCTCTCATTCCCATTTTAGCACCAGAGTGCCCTGAGCAAACGCCCTTCCTAGGGGGCGCAAAGCATACAAGCCCAGAGAAGAGAATCGCCAGCGGGGAAGGGAGAGGGATTGTGAAGAACTGAAGAAATAGGGATTCTGGATCTCCTGGGCCCGTCCTGGGTTTGAAATAAAGAAGGAAAAGCTCTCTGTCACTTTTCTCTTCCTTTCTCAAATCCCCAGGATGTGAGACTGGCCCTGGGAAAACGGTGTTGTATTACTGAGAGAGCAGAGCTATCCTTGCTCCATGGCCACAACCTAGGAAAACTAGGAATCTACACGTCTGTCTCCTTCTAGAAAATGACTCGCCCCTGGTCCTTAGAAAAGGAAATCCAAGTGACTGGGAGTGTAGGGGAAGACAAGACCCCAGCGTCAGGGGCGGGCCACCCGGCAGGCCGCTTGGAAAAACTACTGGGCCAGGGCCAGGGGCGGGGCAGGGGGAGCCTCTGGCGCCGGGAGCCTGAGCCTGACGCCGCGCGGGTGCGGACCCGCGGCTCCCGGCGCTCGGCACCGCCTCCTGCAGCCCGGGGCGGGGCTGGGGCGGAGCGAGCCTGGCCGCTCAGGGGCGGAGCGGGCTTGGGCGCGGACGCGGGCAGAGCGCACGGAGAAGGTCCGCGGCGGGATCTGTGTCGCTGCGGCGCCGGCGACCACAGCAAGCACAGCACAGGGCAGCCGCACCCACAGAGCCACCTTCGCGGCGCGGCGACAAGAGGCGCACAGCCCCGAGGGACGGACGAGTCCTCGCGCGCTTCACGTCGGCTGCTCCCCGGGTCGGGAGGTCGGGCTCCCGGCTCTCTGGCCCTGCCAAGTGTCCCCGGCTCCGGAGGGGCGGGCGGCAGCGGCGCCCGGGATGGCTTCGGCGGGCAGCGGCATGGAGGAGGTGCGCGTGTCGGTGCTGACTCCGCTGAAGCTGGTCGGGCTGGTGTGCATCTTCCTGGCGCTGTGTCTGGACCTGGGGGCCGTGCTGAGCCCCGCCTGGGTCACGGCCGACCACCAGTACTACCTGTCCCTGTGGGAGTCCTGCCGGAAACCCGCCAGCTTGGACAGCTGGCACTGCGAGTCCACGCTCAGCAGCGGTGAGAGCCCGGCGTGCGCGCCCCCCTCGCCCCGCG